TCTAGTAGCCTTCTGGAAGAATAAGACCTGACTCTTGACAACTGGCATGGGGATCGGAGAGCAACATACAATCCTAGGAGTGGTTGGTGGTTTGAGGACAGTCTATCTTTTTAACTTGTTAACTTTTCTTTTTATCTATGTCACTTTTGTATGTTTCTTTGTGGTTTTCATTTGTAAACCCCCCTCCCCTGAAATGGATATTGTATAAATTTGATAAATATTGCAATTGATTATAGGCACTTTGGAAAGGGAATTGCTAATTGCTAAATGGTACTGAAGCTGATTCTTATTGAAGCACATCACTACTTCTCCAAAACAATGTGTTAAACTCATAGCCATCTTTCCATGCCTAAATGCGCGTATGTATGTCTTGTTTAATTGAATGTCTACAGGGGGGGGTACCAGCATGCTGCATAAAATCTCTACTACATTTTTTGAATTTAGAATTCTTGTATATCCCCCACTAATCTTAAGTTCTCTCATACAGGGTGTGCTATTGTATGGACCCCCTGGCACTGGAAAAACTTTGCTGGCCCGGGCTGTGGCTCATCACACTGACTGTACTTTCATCCGTGTCTCTGGCTCTGAGCTTGTGCAGAAATTCATTGGAGAAGGTAACTTTTGGGGAAGGATTATGCAGTTTGGAAATTTAATTTATGCATTGGCCAACTTCCATCATTAAACAATGTAGTTAAGCGAATTTACACACAATTTTATTACTTTTTTGCTGTAGTTGTTAAGTGAATCCAGTTTACTTCATTGACTTTGTTGAAAGCTCCCTAGAAGCTCACAAATGGTAATCACATGACCATAGAATGATGCGACTATAAATAAATGATATTTGCCAAGCGTCCAAATTTTAATCACATGAGCATAGGAGATGTTGAAATGGTTGTAAGAGCACATACTGGTCACGAGTCACTTTTCAGCACCACTGAAACTTTGAATGACTTAAGTCAAGAACTACTTATAATTGGCACTTGAATTGCACCTAGAAGACTGGTAACAATGCAAGTAGTGGAGCAGAGTTGTCACAAGGATATATTAAGGCATTCCCATTACTATCCGTGCTAGTGAATTCTAGACCAGTTGGAGCTTCTAGATGGTGTTAAGGATAGCCCTGCATTGCAGTATTTTCCAGGTGATGTAATTCACCAATATAGTAATCATGTGCAACCTGAAGTTAAAAAGATGCCTTGGAAAGGAATTCAGGAATAGAAAATGGAATTAAAATTAGAACTGCAGCTAAATATTTAAAAGAATCCATGTTTGTAGAAGGCTTACTGTGATCATTTCAGGGGACTAAAGGAGTTAATATGCTTGATTTATGACAGGTGCACGAATGGTACGTGAGCTGTTTGTCATGGCACGGGAACATGCTCCTTCCATCATCTTCATGGATGAGATAGACTCCATAGGTTCTTCTCGCTTGGAAGGTGGATCTGGTGGGGACAGTGAAGTTCAGCGTACAATGTTGGAATTGCTCAACCAGCTTGATGGTTTTGAAGCTACTAAGAACATCAAGGTATGTTTGAAAGAGGTGTGATGTCATAAGCTTGTGTTCACCGATTCTGCTAAGGTAGAATTTTTAAAATCTTGGTTACACGACAAAGCCATTGGGACTTCAGACATACAGTTCAGAATTTTGGAAGATTTAACAAATCATGAGAAGCCAAAATGAAATACATATCCTAGATAATTGCATATATGAGTATAAAGTTATGCCAATAAAGGGGAGTGGATGTATAAAAAGAATTTGGATAGAGGTTAGTTATATAAGGCAGACTTGTAATAGATAGCTCAAAAGAGACTTTTTAGGCTTGGGAGTGGGATATGATGAATGTTCAGTTCAGTAATGTATCTCTTTGCAGGTAATTATGGCAACCAATCGCATAGACATCTTGGATTCAGCCCTGCTTCGTCCTGGCCGCATTGATAGAAAAATTGAATTCCCACCTCCAAATGAAGAGGTAAGAATGGGGTAGCTTTTCACTTTGCTTCTTGTAATAGACTTTCTCCAATAAAGAGAGAATGTCCTTCAGCTGTTCTGTATTGTGCTTTCTATACTGTTTTGGCTCTCTTTTTTGATTCCAATAGGCTCGTCTAGACATCCTGAAGATTCATTCTCGTAAGATGAATCTGACAAGAGGAATCAATCTGCGGAAGATTGCAGAACTAATGCCGGGGGCTTCCGGGGCTGAGGTCAAGGTAATGGGGTGATTTAAAGGGATGCCAGATCAGTTGCTGTAGCTTTTAAAATGAATGGTATTTCTAAAATAGAGTCATGTATTATTAGAAATATGTGGGGATGTAGTTTTTTAACTTGTGAATAGGAGGGATATTGGCAAATATTTTTTTGATATTAAAATGTCACCTCGGCATTCTGCTGTGTAAAACTGTTTTTCAACACCGAAGAGACCATTATTTGCATGGTTCTTTTTTTTTTTTTTTGATATTTTTTTATTTTAAACACATAAACACATCAACAAAAACAAACACACAACTTAAAAACAACATAGGAACAATAAGTTCCATCGTATATCATACAGCAGTTCCAAATTGGTTTCTTTGCAGTTAGTGTTTTCCCTACTATACATTTCTATCTTTCATTCATAATCTCCTTATTCGTTATCCATTTGTATGTACATTTATTTATTTAAACTTAGCTACTTATGACCAGATATTATTTACCTATATTATGCTATATATTTTTACTGTCATTTGTTTTTACGACTGGTAAAAATGAATGTTGGTGTTAAAGCATATAATTGCTAAATGCTTCAAAAAAAATATTTCCAAGAATTAGTGCTTGAATTAAAATTAGCATTTTATGCATACATATGATTAAAAACTGCACTGTTAGCATTAGGAATAATTGTATTATTTTTAGATGAGAAAAAAGATGGTCTGGCTGAGCTCTGTGTTCACTGATATTTGAACGGAACAGGACATATATTGTACTAATTTGTGTTGCAGGGTGTATGTACAGAGGCTGGAATGTATGCACTGAGAGAGAGGAGAGTACACGTGACTCAAGAAGACTTTGAAATGGCTGTAGCAAAGGTACTTTTGGTGATTGATATAAGAGACAAAGGAAATACCCAATATATACAGCTGTCTTCACTAATGAGCTATTCTTATATATTGAATTGTAATGCTTTTAATTTTGAGTCAGAATATCCACTTGGCATGCTAAGTGTGTGATAATATCCCTGGACCTATGATGACAATTAGGATTGGAATTTCTGACAAGTGATAAGGTCATAAAACATGGTTGCATCACTTAATGATGGCAATCTCTGCAGTCCTGGTTGCCATTTTTAACTGAATCCTGTAGTCATTAGGTGAGGCAACCATGAGAAACCAGCAGGAAGCTGTATGTCCTAGACTGGCAGGCACATAAGAGAGTGGAAGAGAAAGTGCAAGAGGCACACACAGGGAAAGTTAATGAGGGTGAGTTGTTGGGTGGGTCAGGGAAAGTGCACAAGAGGCATGGGATGGGTCAGGGAGAGTGCAAGGGTGTATATTTGCCTTCATTGTGTACAAGAAGTGTAGATCAAGGATGATGTGCACAAGCAACATCAGGAGCGGATGTGAGGCACAAGTCGCTGATTGTGCAAATGGGCAGTATAAGCATAGAAGGATTGCGGAGTGTGCACGGGTATGAGAGACTTACCACAGCAACTTTTGATCTTCTCTGCTGGCTTCTCCATAAATTTCTGTGGAAGCAGCATGGAATGTTGCAAATGGTGATCATGTGATCAATCTTAAGTGCGAATTAATTGCCAAATACCCAGATTAGTCACATGATCATAGGGGTGCTAGCAAGTCGTAACTACCATTTGTTCAATGCCATCATAACTTTGAATGGTTGCTGAATAAATAATTAGGGTGACAATTAAAATTGTAATGGAGTACTACTTATGGTGAGGAGTGATTAAACTAGAACTGCCTTTTTCCAGAGAAGCCGTAGCATGTAATAGTGGACTTCTCAAAAGTTGAATTACTTGAAGCACGACATTTAATTGGATAGATGAGTGATAGCAGACTTACATCAAAAACTCCTGCATTTTCATTAAAATAGAATAATGAAGGTAACTTGAAGGTACAATTTTTCTTATAGAATTAACTAGTTGAGAGTTTTTTTGGTCAGGAAGAGATAATAAAATATATGGATTTAAACAGCCAGCCAAATGGTAGAAGAAAGCTTTTAAAAAGCTGCAATTTATGTGTTACTTTGTGCTTTGTATCTAATGCTGCTTCTCCCTTGGCAGGTTATGCAAAAAGACAGTGAGAAGAACATGTCTATCAAGAAGCTCTGGAAGTAATAAAAAGTTGCTGCTATTTCATCAAATTATTTCCTAATGTCATTTACTTGTTTTTCATGTAATAAAACAATATAAATGATTGTAAATGGAAAAGGGGAAAGGGTTTTTTTAAGAATTTGTTCAGCTTTTCAGCAATGACATTAGTTTATAAAACCAAATGAATTGCATGTTTTCTCACTGGAAACATTTTAGGAGATTAGGTCCTCCTAAAAGTCTGGTTAAGTCTGTAATAATATGTCTTTGAAACAGTGTTTTCAGGTTTTGTACTTCTACTCTAATTTGTACTTAGGAAAGGTACATATTAGATTTGTGTGCAACTTGATCCAGAACTGAATATTCTGTATCAGTCTGCTACTTCATGTTACTCCAGGAAATTCTGGAAGTAACTCTTCCAAACCAGACTGGTGCAGAAAACAAGAAGAGTCTGTTCTTGGGTTGAAAAATTTTGTGTATACCTAATATCTTTGTGCCTATCAAATGGTAAATATATTGAAATTGTCATAATCAAGTTTAAGGTAGAGGGGAGAAAAATTACTTAGGGAGAATGTCTTGAAAAATATTAAAATTGTGGATATTAAAATAACTCATTCACATTTTAGTAAAGCTCCCTTGACTAGCTTATTTTGATGTCTAAAAAGCAAGAAGTAGAATTGCATGCATGAATAGAAACAGTTAACTAAATAGGTTCTTTTGCTTTATGAAGTGAAAATTGTACCATAAGGAAAATTTAATTAAATAATTAATTACTGTGAAATTTTGAAAGTAGTTCAAAATTAAACTTTGTAATTTTGAGATAGAGAACCTGCTTCCCCATCCTGTTCCCCTTCCCCTCCAATAAACTAAGTAGCAACTATTTATTGGGCTGTTTTTGTTAAAAACTACAAACCTGTGTGCGGTAAATCAGGACATGCAATTGTTGGGAGCCTAAGAACTGAATTTAGTGGACTCATAGCAAAATCTAAGCTTTCAGGGAAGAGGCTTCTTAAGGCATCCTTGAACTATGGTCAAAAGTAATAATAAAAGTTTCATGTATATGCCATTGTAAATGTGGATGAGTTCCTAATGTGTTGCTGAACAATACTTTGGAACTACTGATCTTTTTAACAACTTCAAAGTAGTCTTCTCATTACATTCAGAACCAGCTGTATATGTGTTGTGATCAGACATAAAACTAGATGATTTCATGTATTCAATATAGTTGCAATTGTTTACTTTTAAGCATTCTGCATATGAAAAATAATTTTGCAGTCTACATCAAAGGATCCCAACAACCATTTGAAACTATGCCATGGAAGTGATGGGCAAACACGCATGTGCACATCCCCACCTGCACAAGCAGCAGGGAAACGTGCTCTATTTGTGAAAGTGCAAATGGAGTACATATTTGTGCTTGCTAGATACTCGCCTGGAACCATCCCCTCCCCACTGCTGGTCCACAATGCTGGAAAGGTTGGGGAACTCTGGTTCAATAGGACACAGTGCTGCTCAAGGGATATGCAGTGTAAACTCATCTCTTTCTATTTTATAGTATCTTTCATTTAAAAAATTCAATTTAACACACCAGTCTGGGTACCACATGCTTTAATGTACCAACATCCTAAGGAACTGAAAAACAAGATTTGTAGCACCAGTTGCTGCTAAAATGTTTTTTTTTAAAAAAAAATTAACATAGAAATTGGTAACATACTTGCTTATAGATAAACATCTCATCAGCTTCTACGTAGCCAAACTATATAAAGGGGTAGGCCAGGAAGCAGGGATATAATCTTTGAAAGATTTAAGTGCTGAGGGCCCAAAAGCCTGGAAAATGAAGGCACTTGAAGGAAATTAGAGAAGGTTGAGGAAATTACTACCTATATCCTTTGGCTGGTAGCCCCAAGAATATTTCCTCTAGCATTGTAACCTTGCCATAAAATATATATTCTCCACTGTTGTAAATCACACACACACATGTATATATTAATGGGAAATGATTGTTGTTAACAGCATAGCACTATCTGAGCACCGACCCCGACCCCTTTGTGATATTGTGGAATATCAATTGCATAGAGTGGAATAGAGGCCACCACCAAGTATATGTTAACTAACTTTCTACAGGAAACAACTGTACCCCAGCCCAACAAAAAGATAGTGCAAAGATTAAATGCCAGCAAAACTGGCAGGAATGGACAAAAGCTTTGGTTAAAATTGAGGAGCAGGTTCCTGCATTGCAAGACTGCAAAAGCTCTGCTAAGATTCCAAAGTACCAGGAAGTGTGGAAGAACTGCAAAAGAAGGCAGCACTAAGTAAGGCGAACACCAAGCACTTGTTCCAGTTCTTGTCTGCGCTGCTGAACCTGAAAGACAGAAAGCCATTATAGAGCTAGATGAGAGCCACAAATAGAACAAGTACCAGATACGTATTATTTCCTTACAGAAGTAGTTTGAAGAACTCTTAAGTGCTCTAATTGCCATCTCAGGATAAATTCTACCACCTCCATTAAATATAACATTGGACAGAAATTATAATTGTTTCATCAATAAGTACTGGGAGAGGTTGTTACACACTTCTACAAAAGAATTCCATGGGAGAGCAAAAAAAGGGAAGTCAAATATAAGCAGAAAAGCACCTTAATCAGCTTTGAAATATGCACTGAAAGAGTGACTGCACTTTAAAGACCGCACTGCATTAAAAATACAGTTCTATGTTCACTCTGCCTCCGTGTTGAAATTAGGAAAAAATGTTAACTTAAAAAAAAGTTACACTCAATTATGCTCTCCTACCTTTGCAAAGATGTGTCGTCCAACAGCTTCTTGCATCCATGGTTGCTGATAGAAATCAGCCCGTCTCTCTTCTTCTGGGTTCCCAGCCACCTCTGTGATAATCTAAGGCCAAATGGAAGCATGGAAGAGGGAATTGTGGAATGTTTAGTGTTATGTTCCAAAACAATGCCATTGAAACTTAATCATACTGAAATTTAGCTAGTTATGAATATTATAAACTTAGCTAGATTTCAATCTAATTCAGGAGCTCCAGGAAGATTGAAAAAAAATATAAAGATAGGGGAATGTTGATATACCTAGATTATATTGCATCATATAAATATTATTATAACCCAGTAGTGTATTAATACTGGGCAGTTAGATGCATTTCAAGAATACATAAACATGTTATCTCTATTTTATTTCTTCTTTCCCATTTAAAATGCATCTTTCCCAGTCAATGGAATACATGATCTATTTTGTATATTTTCCTTTCTTCAAGATATGAAAAAAACTCAGGGGAAGTAAGGATTACTTCAAGCCTCATATAAGAGTGGGATCAACAAACATGTAAACAAAAAGGAACTGATTTGTATCCATGTAGCATGAATTTCAAAATGTATGGATAATTGACAGGTTAATTTGCATAATTTTGATTGGTAGTCTTAAAGTAATTGAATATTTGAATTTGAATTAATAGGAATGCCAGATAAAGGGCAGTAAAAGCCAAATTATGGAAGCATTCAAGTAATTCCACATACACAATTATGCTAACAAGACTGATATAATTTAATGTTGCTTACTTTGGGTAATACAAGTATGGAGTTATTTACCCCTGCATAAATCCTCCATAGTCATCCAAGTACTTACCTTCAAATCTCTTTGTTGAGATCTGATCCACTCCTGAATAAAATCCTGAGGATTATTACTAAAACTCAGCATAAAATCTCGTTGTGTCTTCAACTGATTAATAGATTCAATTGTTTCATGAATCTGTACAAAAATACAAAAAAGTGTCTTATGAAGAAGAGAAAAACTGCCACAACTGAATAAGTCTGGAAGCAAAGACAAACCTAATCCTCTAAAACTGTGTTAATAATGTGGGATTCGCAAGATTTGGAGGGATATCTATACTACCTAGAACAAACAAGTAATGACCATCAATCAATAGTTTTCAAACCCTACAACAATGTATAGCATCAGCTGCTATTTTAAATCAATGTATTTGATAAAGATTCTGGAACAGGAAACAAGCAGGAAAAAGGAATAGAGACACAAATACAATAATGAGCAATATGAATGGAAGATGTGAGAATACTAACTTCCTATTGTGTCTCTAGACAACATGATGAGTAGGAAAGATTAAAGAGAAAGAATACAAATTATTTTTACTTCTTTTTCTAATTTTGATTTTTCCTTTGCTTTCTGTATACTGTCATAATTTTAAAATTATGTTTCAAGACAGGCACCAAATTTATTCACCCTTTTACTAGTGCTTTTCTAAGTTCAAGCAACAGGAAGATAACAGAAATTCAAATTTTGAAAATCAATTTAAATGGAAAACTAGATACATGGCATGCAGTGTCAATCAGGCACTAAATACACTTCCTTTGTTTGGATCTTTACAATTAATACTACACACACACACACTCTCTCTCTCTCACACACACACTATAATTCTAGTTTTAATATTTTTGTATTTCTTTTTCTTTCTGCCACTAATTTCAAAAAAGGTTCTAAGTTGCTTAAAACAATGTTGAAGTAAAATAGAATTAAAAGAAAACTGCAAAACAACAATTGCCTATTACATGGAAGGGACTTCTGACATCATTATTCTCCAGAAACCCTCTGGGAATTGATGGTGTAGTAGAGCCCTCCCTGAGTTAAGTAATTATTACTTTGTGTTTTGTTTACTTGCAAAGTGCTTATAATCCCTTTTGTAACTGAATAGGATTTAAATTGCAGAAATAAAAATAAAAACAGTAATATTGCAATAGTGAAAATATGTCATTAAGTTGCGGCAATAAGACTGCGAATGTGGGTTTGTTTGCTCCCCACTTCTAGTTAAAATCCTCCATTTATTCATCAATAGTTGCAATATATGGCTATGAAGGTTGGACCATAAGAAAGGCCGAGCACCAAAGAATTGAGGCCTTTGACCTATGGTGATGGAGAAGACTCCTGCGAGCCCCTTGGACTTCAAGGCGATCAAACCAGTCAGTTCTAGAGGAGATCAGCTCTGACTGCACTTTAGAAGGCCAGATCCTGAAGATGAAACTCAAATACTTTGGCCACCTAAAGAGAAGGACAGATTCACTGGAGAAGAGCCTAATGCTGGGAAAAACTGAGGGCAAAAGAAGAAGGGGACGACAGAGAATGAGGTGGCTGGATGGAATCACTGAAGCAGTAGGGGTGGGCTTAAATGGACTCCAGAGGATGGTAGAGGATAGGAAGACCTGGAGGAACATTGTCCATGGGGTCGCGATGGGTTGGACACGATTTCGCAACTAACAAAAACATTTACTCATCTGCTGTTCCCGAGACAACTTAATAAGCAGTTTGTTTTTTCATTCTCAAACATAGACAGAAACACAGCATGTGAAAAAGTTTTCCATGACAAGTATGATTTTATGAATGCTGTTGGAATAACTAAATCTTCCTAAAGGGGCTATATTCCTAAATATAGCATCTTGTACACTACATTATTTCCCAAACTAAGAAAGGTTAGTCTTTTTACTACCACACAGTTGACAATGTGCTACCTTGATATCCAGGGAAGCAATTTCTTGCTGATTAGTTGTGGAGGCCAAGAAGTTGCTCATTTGGGCTTTCAAAGGATCATCTACTTCCACATCAATGTCATAACAGGCTGTTTTCTTTTGATCGTTAGGGTCCACGCTAGACAAGTCAAGACAAGAGGGTATGTCAAGAGGTGAGAAAGGGCATTGGTCCTTACCTGAGATGCCTCTTCTCATAGGGTGGAGGGAGCATCCAGGCTGGGTTGACCTTCATCCACTCATTGCAAGGATTGAGCCTGACAGTTAATTGAAACCACGCCCCTGTCACTAGGCAAAAGCCCAGTTCCGATGAAGGAAGTGACTCGATGCATCATCGCCTCCCATGGTCCAGTCCTTCAAATGCCAATCGTCTGAAGCAGTTCGCCAAATGTCCATCATCTGATGCAGATAAGTACTATTGTGAATTCTAAAACAACAGTCAGTCCCAAAGGAAGATGCATGATAACCAACCGCAATGAGATAAAAAAAACCAACAAGGAGAAGGTAATAAAAGAAACCAGTCATATCCTGGGAGGGGCTGGATGCTACCTCCACCCTATGAGAAGAGGCGTCTCAGGTAAGGACCAACTCCCTTTCTCCATAGTGGTGGAGGTACCATCCAGGCTGGGACGTACCAAAGCAGTAGCCGTCCCTTGGGTGGGCTTATGACTGGTTCTGCCGATTGCCAGTCCTGTGGACCGACTGAAGCACCTGCCGCCCAAAAGCTGCATCTGCAGATGCAAAAACGTCCAGCTTATAGTTTTTGATGAAGGGGGATGGAGTAGCCCATGTCACTGCCCTGCAAATCACTGCCAAGGAAGCCTGGGCCACCCAGGCCGCCGAAGCAGCAGCACTCCTTGTAGCATGTGTGGTCAATCCACGTGGAATTGGAACAGAGTGGGATTGGTATGCTGTAGGTATGCAGGCCCACAACCACCTGCCTATGGTGGCGGACAATACCTTCCAGCCCAAGGAGGACGGTTGGAACAACACAAAAAGTGATCTGAGGATCGAAAGGGCCGAGTTCTTTTCAAATAGATCCTTAGAGCCCTCCTCACGTCCAAGGTGTGCCACTTGTCTTCCAAAGGATGAGCAGGATGGCGGCAGAAGTTGGGTAACACAAGTTCCTGTGCTCAGTTGAAACAGGAGCACACCTTGGGAATGAAGGAGGGATCCGACCGTAGCACCACCTGGTCCGGATGGAAAACACACAGGTCTTCTCTGATTGAGAGCGCTTGTAGTTCAGAAATCCTCCGCTAGGCCACCAGAAAAGATACCTTCAGAGTCAAGAACCTAAGAGAAGTTTCTTGAAGGGGTTCAAATGGGGCTGAAGTAAGTGCATCCAGGACCCTGGGTAAATCCTATGAGGCATATATGTGCACCGCTGGTGGTTTAAGGTTGGAAGCCCCCTTAAGGAAATGATGTACCATGAGTTGTTGGGACAGTGAAGGGAACCCCCACAGGTCAAAATGGATGGGATGGCCTCCAGTTGACGCCGGATGCTGTTAATGGCCAAACCCTTATCTAAACCATCCTGTAGAAGTTCCAGGACGCGCGGGATGGTGGCCCTAATGGGGTCCAAGGTTTTACCATCACACCAGGAACAGAAGGACCTCCAGGTGGAATCGTAGATTTGTTTGGTGGATGGTCGACGGGCAGCCTGGATCGTCCGGATGACCCTGGAGGAGTAACTGTCCCCCCTCAGGACGCTTCGCTCAAGCGCTAGGCAGTCAACTGGAACCACTGGGGATTGGGGTGTTTCAGCGACTCCTGGCTGAGGGAGATTCGGTCCTGAGGAATCCTCCAGGGCCTGTTCACCAAAAGAGTCCATAGGTCCACAAACCAATGCCTGCACGGCCAGTGGGGTTCAACCAGGATCACATCCGCCTTCTCTCCCATGATTTTCTGGATGATGTGAGGCAGGAGAGGAAGTGGGGAAAAGGAATAGGAGACCCAGAGGCCACCTGCATCTCAGGGCATCCACTCCTTCCGACCGCTGAGCCGGGAACCGAGAGTAAAACCGAGGGAACTGGGTGTTCTGGGGGGTGGCAAAGAGTTTGATCACCGGCATGCCAAATCTGTTCACAATGTCCCGGAAGATCGATGGGTGCAGGCGCCATTCGGCACTGTCCACAACCTCGCGGCTGAGCCAGTCTGCCTGGACATTCGCCACCCCCAAAATATGCTCCGCGGTGAGAGACAGCAGGTTCCTCTCGGCCCAGAGACCCAACTGCATGGCTTCGTCCATCAGGGAACGTGATCTGGTCCCCCCGTGGCGGTTTGTATGTGCCTTGGCTGACATATTGTCCGTTAATATCAAGACATGCCTGCCTGCCACTTTAAAGTGCGGAGAGCCAGGTGGACCGCTTGTAGTTCCAGCCAGTTTATACTGAGAGTCCTGTTCACCTGGTCCCACTGCCCTTGGGCCATCTGCCCTTGGAGATGCCCCCCCCAGCCAAACAGGCTAGCATTTGTGGTGAGAGTCAGAGAGTCCTGGTCCTTGAACAGATGGCCCTTGGTGATGGCCTAAGATGTCCACCAAAGGAGGGAACGGGAAGCCTCTGCTGGGATATGCACCTTGGTCAGGGAACAGCTTAAGAGTCTCCTGTGAAAAGGCAAGAGAAACCATTGGAGCTTGAGGGAATGCAGACGAGTCCAAGGAACTATCCCAATGGTGCCCAGCAATTTAGAAAGTGTGGCTAAGGAGTATCCCCTCGCCACTTGGCCTGCCAATGACTTAAGGGAGTCCTGGCGCTCCTGTGACAAGAAGACTCTACACTCAATTGTGTCATTTAAGGCACCAAGGTGCACTAACCTGGTGGTCAGATGGAGATGACTCTTGGATATATTAATTGGAAACCCATGGATCTGAAGGGCCTGCAAAGTGGTCGCAAAGGTCCCTTTGTGCCTGACTAGGTGATGAAGATTGTATGAGAATGTCATCTAAATATGCCTGTAACCTGACAGGTACCTCTCTCAGTGCAGCGACCAGAGCTGCATGCACCTTGGTGAACACTCTAGGAGCGGAAGATAGTCCAAAGGGTAACGCCATATATTCAAAATGGTCTCCAAGATAGGAAAAACATAAGAATTGTCTTTGCTGGGGTAAGATGGGAATGTGGAGGTATGCCTCCGTTAAATCAATAGATGTTAGAAAATCTCTATGCCTAATGCTACTCAAAATAGTCTGCAAGGAATGCATCTTGAAATGTTTATAATGAATAAACTTGTTTAATTTCTTAAGATCAAGGATGGCTCTCCAGCCTCCCAAGGCCTTGGGGATGATAAAAAGTATAGAACAGAATCCTTGGCCGTGTTGGCCCGCCAGCACTGGTGGATTGCCTGTATGTCCAAAAGCTGTTGAATCGCCTCTTGCATAAGATGTCATCGAGGCAGGTTGTTAGATAACGGGAAGGTAATGAAGAGCCTAAGAGGGTTGGAGATAAACTCAAGGGCGAGCCCTGAACGAACAGTAGATCTAACCCAAACATCACCGGTGGTTCTATCCCATTGATCGGCGAAAAAAGCCAATCTGCCTCCAATAGGATAACTAGATGCCAGTAAATTAGGTCCGGCAGTAAAAACGTCCCCCGCCCCCATGAAAGGGGCACTTGGAGGCCTTACCCCTCTGATAGCGGTCTGACTGCCCCCTCTGCCTAGAGGAATATCCTCCCTGCTGCCTATATCCCTGGTTGCTGTAGTCTGCCCCCGAAAGGACGACCCATAATCTTGGTTCCGAAAGGACGACCCCCCCCATCTTGGCCCCAAAAGGAAGACCGCCTGGGATAGGGAGTGGGGCGGAAGAACCCTTTCTTGGGCGTGGTAGGGAGAATCTTCCTCTTTTCCTTGTTCTCAATGAGAAAAGGATCCAGTGCATCCCCAAAGAGAGATTTGCCCTTGAAGGGGACCGAGGCCAAACACCATTTGTGGAGCATGTCCGCCTGCCACTGGCGAAGCCACAACAGTCTGCGAGATGCCACAGAAGATGCCAAGGCTCGGGAGTCGAATCTGACAGATCAGAGGGTGGCATCAGATGTAAACTGAACCGCCGCCACTAGTTTGGTGATATCCTGATGTGCACGGAAGTCTGCGATGGGGATACGCGGTTGCAGGTCCTGCAGCCAGAGAAAATAGGAACGGGTGAAGAATGAGGCAGTGGTTGAGGCCCGGATTGCCCATGCCACTGCCTGGTGGTCATGCTGCAGAGTGAAATCTGCTTTTTTGTCCTCTGGCTTAAGGACATCTTCTGCCCCCACCCCCCGCTCCCCTCCCTCGGCATATTGGTATAGAGGGGCAGTCTCCGGGGCATTGATGGTTGGATCGATAGAGACTGAGCCAATTCATTGGCCACATCGAAGAATTTCTTGAGAAGCTGATGGAGTTGGGCCCGAGGTGGGAGCCTCTCACTGACGCTGCACCAGGTCAATGAAGATATTTGGGGTAGGTATCATTTCTGATGAAGGAGCCTGCTTGGAAAACAGGGTGTCTGCAGACACAGTTGCCGGGCGGGGAGTGGTGGTTGCCGGCTGCGTGCCGAAATTTGAAGCCATTTTGACCTTGTACAGTAATGAAGGGTTGGTGGAAAAAGGCCAGAAGAGGTCTTCTGATCTGGTTCCCTGCCTCATCCTCGGACATTCCGGCCTCTTTGATTTCCCCTTCATCAGATTCAGAAGAGTGGTCTGATTCCTCCTCATCTGGGGCCAAAGGCTCTACTGCTGCCAAAGGTGGAGGCACCGCAGGCCTATCAGCTGACTGCATTTGGGCTGGCTGTTTGTTAGATTGAGCATCCCTTTGCTGCAAACCAACAGCAATGCCCTGTGAGATGGCAGTTGCAATGATGTCTTGGAAATTGACCATGCAGAGGGGATTGGATTGGCCAAGGCCTGCTGAAGTAGATGGAATACTGTCTACCCTCTGTACAAAGTGGGAGGGGCCAGTGATGCTGCAGGAGTCATAGCTGGTTTTATCTCCTGTGTTGGCCCCCAGATGCCTGACACATCAATGGGAAAGAGAGGGTTAAGGGAAGCCTCACTGCCCTGTCTATTCCCAGGAGAAAGTTGTAAGGCTTACTGCATCTGGGCAAGCTGAGGTGGATCAGTATTATTGGAGGAGGAAGTCTTCTTGGAAGCAACTTTCTTGTAAATGCGTTCTAACGCTTTTTCCTTCTGCTTCTCAACAAGAAGCAGGTCTAGAGGATTTGTTTGACTTGCTGGCTCTTGCTGAGGCTTTTAAGGGCTTCTTGCACCCCCTTGTGGTGCTAGAAGAGGCAGAGGTGGAGGCAGTGGGGGGGAGGAAGCTTGCTCTTCCACCACCTGGGGAATGCTAGCTTCAGCAGTAGATTCCCTGCCATAGTCCGTTGGTTCAGAGGCTGTGGCGGCCGCCATTTTGATAGGAGAAAAGGCATGTAAATACAAAAATGGCGCTTCGCGCCTTTTTTCTCTAAAGTCCCAGTCATTGAAGCAAGATCTTTCTGTTCACAGCATGTCGCTCCACAAGTTGAATTCCCCGCTTTTGAAGGCTCGGGTCGCTCTGTGGTAGCTGAAATACGCTCAAGTGGCAATCAATCAATCAAAGTTACTGCGGTTCACTGCTCTACTGCAAGCAGGAGCAGCGGAGCATTTCCCAGCATGAAAAGAATGTCCAGATCTCAAAGGGGAAGCTGACAGGTCCAGAGTGCAAGTGGAGAGGGACCGGCGGCGAAGGCAGGGATACATGGCAGCGGGCTGGAAGGGTGTGAGCCTCGCAGGCAATTAACAATGCAAGCCAACCTCGCTTTTCAAGCTGCAAGGGGACACTTTAAACCACTTTTGCCTTAAGAGGGCTCAAAGACACCGACCCACAAGGCTATTTAGCTCTGCGAGGAGCTTTAGTCAGCCAGGGTCACAATCAGTCAAGACGATCGCTGTACTCACAAACTCATATCACAACTCAGCCTAGGAACAAGGTGATGATGCATCCATCCTCATTGAGGGACTTAGTCAGAACTGGGCTTTTGCTTAATGACAGGGGTGTGGTTTCAATTAACTATCAGCCTCAGTCCTCACAATGAGTTGATGAAGGTCAACCCAGCCTGGGTGCTATCTCTACCACTATGGAGAAGTATCCTTTCTTGGATTTATGCCTTCACCATCATGTGATACAGATTAGTATAAGGATTAGTTTCTCTCTTACACTACATCAGAAGTGTTCTAAAGAAGTGATACAAATCTGAAATGTACACCACATAGGAGGTGCAAATTGGAACAGTTCCATGAATTGTAATATTTGGATATGCATCACAAAATATTTTGTTTAAAATATGTAAACATTGCCTTTCCTGCTCTCCTGTGGTGGAATCCCTGGCTGAAGGAGAGGAGGCCCTGATGGGATACTTAAAAGACATTCCAGCTTAGAGTTTATTTGAGAGAAGAAATGTTTGAAGTCAAATCCTTAGGTCTGTATCTGCTGTTTCCCAAGGGAAGGCAGACAGTTTGCTGAGACAACAATATTGATTGGTGATCAACAATAAAAATATCTATTTGACTCTTTCTCAGAGCTGTTCTAATTGCATTCACCTGACAGCTCAGGAGAGTTTGCAATTGCAAAAGAATTATAAAAAATCTAGATAACAGAAAATAGAATTTCACAATCAGAATAAAATAAAGCATGAAACAACTTTGTTTTAAAGTTAGATGAATTAGAGCAGTGTTTTTCAACCTTTTTTGTGCAAAGGCACACTTTTTTCATGAAAAAAATCATGAGGCACACCACCATTAGAAAATGTTAAAAAAATTTAACTCTGTGCCTATATTGACTATATAGAAAGTAATTCTCCCACAGCACACCTTACACCAGTGTTTTTCAACCACTGTGCCGCGGCACACTAGTGTGCCGTGACATAGTGTAAGGTGTGCCGTGGGAAAATTACTTTATATATAGTCAATATAGGCACAGAGTTAAATTTTTTAAACATTTTCTAATGGTGGTGTGCCTCATGATTTTTTTCATGAAAAAAGTGTGCCTTTGCACAAAAAAAGTTGAAAAACACTGCCTTACACTATGTCACGGCACACTAGTGTGCCGCGGCACAGTGGTTGAAAAACACTGAATTAGAGAGACCTTGAAATTCAAAAGAAATGTTTCCTAGATAAGCAGTGATATTATTCTAATTGTCCAGATTAAACACCTTCTCTATCTTCAATTTATGAAGTGTTTAATTTTAATAGACATTTCTATAAAGCACACCAATACTATTTTTAAATGAGAACTCAGAAAGCATACAGTTGTCAAAAATCCAGTGCAGAGGTTAAGATTCCAGAAGGCTCTCCAAACACAACTTTTAATGAATAAATGTGGATATTATGCATATGGATACAGTTAAGTATCAACTGAGGGTGTAATTAAGTTGTTCCCAAATAATTTTTCTTACAATATCAATATTACCTGATAACGTGATTGATAACAATGGGATCTGGATGTTGTAAGAGTCCTGCCAGTTTCATTGGAATCTCAGAAAATCTCATACGGCTGCAGTTGAAGATCTAAAATGAAGCAAAAAGACAAACCTTAGTAATTCCAAAGGAATAACATCTGGAAAAATAGGTGGGCACAAAGCAGTGGTGAAATTCATTTTTTTTTTACTACTGCTTCTGTGGGCGTGGCTTGGTGAGTGTGGCAGGGGAAGGATATTGCAAAATCTCCACTCCCACCCCACTCTAGGGCCAGCCAGACATGGTGTTTGCTGGTTCTCAAAACTACTCAAAATTTCCGCTATCGGTTCTCTAGAAACTGCTGAATTTCACCCCTGGCTCAAAGTCAGCCCATGAGACATTCTAATTGTAAGGATGAGATCTATACTGTGATAAGCACTAATGTATAGGCAGTCTTCATCTTAGGACCACAACTGAGCCCAAAATTTCTATTGCATAGTGAGACATTTGTTAACTGAATTTTGCCTCATTTAACAAATTTTCTTGCCACAGTTGTTAAGTGAATCACTGCAGCTGTTAATTAGTAACATGCTTGTTAAAGTGAATCTGGCTTTCCAACTGACTTTGCTTATCAGAAAGTTGCCAAAGGTGATCACATGACCTTGGGACACTGCAACCGTCGTAAATATAAGTGAGTTGCTAAGAGTCTGAATTTAGATCATGTGACCAAGGAGATGCTGCAATGGTCGCAAATGTGAAAAATGGTTATAACTCACTTTTCTCAGTGCTGTTATAACTTTGAACAGTCACTAAATGAACTGTTATAAATTGTGGACTACATATACTGATTGTTTAAAAATCTAAATATCCATGTGTGTACCAATTCATGGTGAATTACTGTTACTGTTTACAATCTGCCTAGCTGATTGGATCTTGCAGGATTAGTGCACTGGGCTCCTTCAATTAACAATGTCCTCCATCATGCCTCCGAAATATGCCTTTTCTATAGCACTACCTATCCTCTGGAATGAAGCCTGCACTCCTCTGTGATTTAGAAGAGCCCTGAACACCTGGATTTTCCCCCTGGCCTTACCCCAGAGGGGCCTCCTGCTTCATTTCCATCCAATCTGTCATTCTTTCTACTTTCCACATCTATTTTCTATCTTTTAGTTGCTTTTCTTTGTTTTGATTGTTCTGCACCAGCCAGGCATTGGCTGCAGACATGTATAATAACACCAACAACAATCATGTGAACTGGTAACAAAACAGTGGACTTCCAATTATTTTTAAACAATATAATTAAAAATTATCTGAAGAGATTTTCACAGTCTAGTTCAGGGATGTCAAACTCATGGCCCACGGACTGATGTGTCATATGCTGGCTATGCCCACCCCCGGTTTAGCAAAGGGGGGGGGAGTTGTGATACATCACGTGATGAGAACATGTCGCAAGTTTGACATCCCTGGCCTGTTTTGTTAGTGTATTAGCTCTTCAAGCTAGCAAGATAGAAAATATACAATTTATTATGCTTCCTATTTTCAAATTGGTGGGAATAGAACTAAGCAATGGATATGAACTTGGGAAGATATAACAGATTAAAAAAAATCAGGAACTGAGAATCAGAATTATGTGTGAATTGAAATTCCAGTTCCCAAACATGAAAGCTGCTCAGCTCCCAGCTTCCAACTTTATTTCTTGGATACAGCTGCTAATACCATGTTTTCCCGAAAATAAGACAGGGTTTTATTTTCTTTTGACCCCCAAAATAAGTGCTTGGCCTTATTTTTGGGGAGGTCTTATTATTTTTGAGGTACAGGAGGTGGTGAGCGTGATCACCTCATGGCTGCTGCTGTTTTGCAATATCTTCGGGGATTTTAGGGGAAGGCTTATTTTAGTGCATGCACTCAAAAGCCTGATTGAGATTATTATCTGGGGAGGTCTTATTTTCAAGGAAACAGGGTACTTAATGTTCGTATTATGCACCTGTGCAAAAAATCATATGCAACATAAGCAATACATAAGCAACATCAAGATGGATTACAGACTATTGATCAGCTTGTGGTTAGGACTGATAAGGAGTGAAGCTAAAGTTAACGTGGTTTGTGAAAAACCTCTTCATTTAATAAAACATCCTGAACAGCAGAGACATACTGACCTGGCGAAAGTAGCGGTTGCAGTTAATATATTCTTTCTCATGACAGTCCTGGAGTTTGTTATATTTGATATAGAGCCATAGAGCCTGCATTATGCTGGCACGGGTCTGGGTATGGACACCAAGAAGGCGAGCCAGACGTGGATCTAGCTTGTATTGAGGAGGCTGAAATGACAATGTTACTTAATTAACATGTGTGCTGTCCTATCAATTTTGCAATCCCATCCCCCGTTTCAATTTTTAATCTATTTTCTCTAAAAAAATAAAATAAAGCATGAAGCTTCTGATGAATTATATAAAGAGCAAGAGAACATACAACACAATCTAGTATTTAAGCTTCCTTTAAAGAAAATTAAATGCAACTTTATAATTATCTTTATCAAATGATCCACAATTTACAATGGAGAGTAACTTCAAAAAGAAAATGGTGAACTTCTGGAAGCAAGTAGGAAACTCAAGTTGTAGGAAACTCAAACTTTGCTCCAGGTAAAGAAACTGAATGTTTCAAATAATGAGTAATTGGAAAAGATGCCTCTGGGCCAGGATCTGTTTATCTTCTTTTCAGTAAAGCAGGGGTTCCTAAACCTTTTGCTACCATATCTCCCTTTAGTGTACTATCAATATACATACTTTCCTTAAATATCTAAGGATTAAAATGAATACAAATGAATATTGAGAATGGTACAATGAAATGGTAGATTTTTATTGTAACAATAAAAGGTTCTTCATACTTTCTCAGGACTCTAACTGCACTTCCTCAAGAAGGTAAATCTAACAGTTTGGGAAATCCTGCCTTAGAACATTAGAATTGGTCTGCTCTGGCAATTTGCCTTCTTACCTGATGATCCAGCATGAGAAGCAGAGTGCATTTTACATTCACATCACCAGGGCGCTTGACCTGAAAGCCATCTGTCTCTTGGGTTGTTGGCATCCGATGCCACTAAGGTAAAAAAAGGCATAAATAATATGTCTCTTTAGTGGAAACAAGGAAAAAATGAAAACGAGTCAATCTCCCATGCAGTATCTTACATGGTAATAATCAGTTTCCTGATTACTGGCTCACTGCTTGGTTTTGTAATGGGTGGAAACTTAAGTCTTCTGCCATAATTAAGAAAAAAATACTACTAGTCACTTCCGAATATGGTTCAGGTCATAGCTTTCTCCATCAATTCTTCTTTATACCATATATCAGTCAATTTCTGGTGGAGGCACTATTTTGGGGGGCGGGGGGCAAGGTTTACACCTGGGCTTTAAGGAACACACTGAAAAATGCATAGCCAAAAGTTGGTGGTGTCATGAAGGTGCTAGTCAACATGGAAGGAATTCTAATTCTCATTTATCTATTGTCTATTGTCTACTACATCTCGGTTAAACATTTTTATAACCAGCTCGAATAAACTATGAACTTAAATTATTTCAAAGTACTGTGCTAAATTTACTAATACAAGATAAATCATGCAATAAAATTTAACAAGCATAACAACAAAAAAGAAAAAAATGTGGATGGAAATTATAAACAGAACATATTCTATACCTTTGATCTAACAGTGTAATATGGAAACTTTGAATGTAAAATTATATTGGTTCTAATAGAAGCAAAGTCCTTATGTCAATTTCTTAGCCATGCATCTAAGTTCAGTATAAAGTGTATGAATGCTATGAGCTGTCTACTTTATAGTATATATCGCAAGATACTGACCTCCACGAGGTGATTGTCTGGTCCATATAATTCTTTGTCTAGTTCAATAACCAAGCTCTTGAAAAAGGATGAGAATTTTCTCTTCTGTTTACTTGGCTGTGACAGAAAGACAAATGAGAAACTGAGCTTTACCATTCTCACAATAACTTTAGAAAACACACTTGTCCAAAACACTTCATTAAGTGAGGGATAAGTAAATGATGTCACCTTTATTATTTGTAAAATATACTAATTATACAATATTTATCACCATTGCAACCCATAGATACTCTGTGGAGTTTAAAATAAGGAGCAATAAATTCAGGAACAATTTGAGCCAATGGTTAAGGAGCATGAGGAGCAAATTGAAGTTCTAATTCTGCCTTAGGCATGGAAGCTAACTGTGTGACTGGGACTGTTAGCTTCTCTCAGCCTTAGGAAAAAGGCTATGGCAAACCACTTTGGAAAAGCTTGCCAACAAAACTTCATGGACTTGTCCAGCCAGTAACCAGGAGTCAATAATGACTCAAAGGCACAAATATAAATGTATTTCTGGTAAGACAGCAAATAGAAAAGTAAAAAATAGTTATTATTGTTATTTTGTCTAAAAACATAGTCCTCTATCATACTCTTCAAGAATAAGATATAATTTAAGCCAGATCTCAAGAATTCTAATTTAATTGGACATTGCAGTAAGCAGAAACTGAAGTAGACTAGCCTTTGGTCTGGTCCAGCACCACCCTTAAACATAAATTACTGCTTAAAGTGAAGAAACATACATAATGTCTTTCATTTATGCAAATTAATAAAGGATTAGTCAACAGTTAAATGAAGCAATAGGTTAGCTGCCTGATGCAAGACCTTTTTAAGGGTGGATAGGAAACAAGGCAGTTATCCAGAGGAAACACACATTTGTCATCTTATATCTGCCATAAAGTTATCTCTTAACGAAGAAATTTCATTCTTACATCATCAAGAAGTTTGCCTTCCACACGAAGTTCCCATGAGGCTATACGCTCACCACCCTCAGACTCCTCTTTGCCAGGAGTAAAAGTGTTAGAGATGTAAATACGCAGCTTCCGCTTTTGCTGAAAATTTAAAGGAAAACATTAATTGAAAACAGCAAAGAAATCATCATATAAATCCACAAACCAGTTTTATGGTTTCGACCTTTTCCCCAAGATAACTTAATACAGCAAAATTAGTTGCAATTGTGGATTGAGATTGCCTCTAATAGGGTTTTAGCTGATCCTCTCTCTATCATGTCCTTATACCGTCAAAGGTTTCTTGATTGCCTCTTGGATTTCCATTCTTTTGCGGGCAATTGTCTGGTCCAGCTTGCGTTCAAAAGCCAGTAAATCCATGTATGCCTGAGACTCAGGAACTAATTCACGAATCTACAGAAAAAGAATGGATTATTAGATAGTTATCTAACAAATGTTATCACATTATTTAGTGCTTTTAAAAGGTATATATGTAAGGTGAATGTCAATTAGTATTATTGTGATCTTCCAGTATATAGACAGGCTTTCCTAATTTTTTTCTATCACTGGGAAAAACAATATAACTTTGCCCTAATTTAAAAGAGTAGATTTATCTCTAGTTATAACTAGAAGGTGATTGTAAATTGTGTAGCACAGAAATCTGTTCTTAAATTAAAAGTAATATAATAGTTTACTAGGCTAGTCAATAGGATATAAATACATGCCAGGCCCTGGGAAATAACTATAATCCACATAGAAAGATTTGTCAAAAGTTAAGTAAAATTTCATAATAAGTTTATTTTGTTTCTATGAGACATTCAGCAGCAAATATTCTATTCTAGAAAACCTGAGTCTCAAAGTCTGCAATATTTCTCCCCATTTAGACCAAATGTCCTCACTATCCTCAATTTTATCTTTAATGCTAATATACTTTCACAAAATGAGAACTTACCCTCTGTGGCAGGATTTTGTCAGCCATCTTCCGCCTTTTCAATCTACAAGAAATAATAAATGAGCGGTCCTTGTGGAAAATTCATTTTTTTAAATAAATATAATGAATTGACTGCAATCTATTTATCTGTCACAGAAAATAATATAATCCCAAATATTCACCCCAACATTTTAAGTCAGAACAGGGAACCTATGACCTTCCATAAGCTGCTGAAATATCTTAGCAGTGTAGTCAATGATGATGGCTGCTGGAGCATGTAGTTCAACAAACACCAGAGGGCCTAAAATGTACCACTTTTGTCTAAATTAAGACTTTCCAGATTTTTCAGTATCTTACTTCAGTTAGGCCTTTAGTTTGATATAACTGTAGCGAGCTATCCAGAGTTATAGCACTAAATCAGAAAGCCATTCAAACCTTTTCAATAAATCTGCCTAACCGTACTTCTTTATCTTTACCTCAATTTTAATGTAAATATAACAAAATTCATGTACAGTATTTCTACAGAAGGATATTCATATTTTTCCAATTACTATCACAGTAAAACTCCAAGTTAATGGACCCTTTAGGATGAAAAGTGAGGATAAATCTGAAGGTAGAAGAGAAAAAAATATAAATGAAGTGGGGAAAAGGAGGAAACCATTATTTCTTTTCCTCGTGCATGTTAGAAATCACATCCAAACAGTCCAAGTTGGATGATGCAAAATACAGGGGATGGCAGGGATTGTGAGACCACTAAGTGCTGTATCTGAAAGCATAAGGTAAGTGTGATTAGTCAGAATGTAAGCTTGCAACATGGAGGAGCAGGAAAGCATGTGTTGTCTCAAAGAAGAGATGGAAAGGGGCAGCTTGAGGGTCTCTTCTTCCTCTGCATTCCAGCAAAAGGAGGCAGATAGCAATGTAGGACTCAAAATGTTTTTTGTCTCCTCCATAGGGCAGTGAGTAAAAAGGCTGGGAGCATTTGAGTGGAGTCACTGTGTTCTCCTTCAGCTATTACAGATGTAGCCTCTAATCAGTGACGTGCGGTGAGGTTTATACCTGGTGAGGCTCAGCTGGACATCCTTCTGAGAAGCAGCGAAGCAGGGCAGCGGTCTGCCTTGGTGGGGGGGCGGGAAATTTGCATCACGGGAGCAGCCAAGCACCCGGGTCTGCAGCAAAGGCGCTTGGTGGCTCCCGCGATGCAAAGTGCTCCGATGCCGCCGCCCACCCGCTGCCCCGGCCTGCGGCCGCTGCTTCTCCAAGCTCCGCCGCTGGAAGTCCCGGATCGCCTCTGGGGGAAGGCTGGGTGAGAAGTGGAGCAAAGCTTCTCCACGGCCTCCCGGCACTATGCAGAGGTTCTCGCAGGAGCGCGTGCCAGCGGCCGGCGGCCCCGGCTGCGAGACAAGGCAGCGCTTAAATATTCCATATTACCTGGACCTTTTGACCTACTATAACTCTTACTTTCCAGAGATTATCTGAGTTAAATATATATCTAATGCACATTATGGTCTGCTACAAAAATGTAATCAATTTAGAATAGCTCAATAATAGGGGAGGGGGAACCTTTAGATTTTTTCTTGAAATATTAAAAAAAAACATTTGAGTTCTAAATCATTTGAGGACATCTTAAATCATTTATTTACTCAAATATAGTGACATATATAGGATGATCAAAGTGTTATGTACAATAGATTTAGCTGCAAAGATTTTATGTATCCAAATATTCAAAGAGAAGACTAAACATTGACATCAATCAGCGAAAGTAGGAAAGCAAGTTGTTGTGTAAATCCAATAATTATTCTGAATAATAATGAGATGTTATAAATCACATGATTTAATATTATATTATAAATTAAGGCATAGCATATATTTATCTGGAATAATAAAAGCTAAAGAAAATAACATTGTTTGGAGCTATAAATGAATTTCTGCCAAAAACAGATCAATTTCATCTCAGACTTATCCTACAAGGGAAAAAAACGTAGCAACTTAAATTGAATAATGGTTTTCAGCCTCTGAAAATGACAAGTAGTAAGCAAACAGTTTTCTGATTTACACCTTTATTTTCAGCAGAATTTGGCCTCTGAAATCTCAAAGCCAGATGTTTACAGCTGCTCGTTCTCTATATAACATCTCCTTTGGATCAAGCTGGAGAAGAAGAATTGCCAAGAAACTGAATGTCATTTGCAAACCATTTGCTTTTAAAAACAGCTGGTAAAATGAGGCCAAGCAGAGTCTGTTGATGGGCCAGAAATATTTTTGAGAAAAGAACAGCCTACAGCCTGAATTCAATAAAAATAGCTTATATAGTTAGAATAAGAAATAAACTTGAATGTAGGAAATGAAGGAGGTATAAATCTATATTAAAATGAGGTAAGGAAAAATGAGTTACAATTTCACATTAACACTGTATAAAACACTCTAAAAATGTGATCTATAAATCCTATTGTGAAGTTAAAAGTACTTCAATATATATTTCCTCCACTATTGTTCAATTCGGCATGATCAAACAAATGTTTCCAAACTCTTCCAACTAATGGCTGCGTATGACATACTTGCATACGTAGTAAATGTGTATGAACATACTTATTAACAGCTGCAGTCCAAAACAGTATAGGAACAAAACAAAAACTTGCATTTATATTAGTAATTTTTCATTAAAGTAAACTACTTACAGATAATCCTTGACTTACAACAGTTTATTTAGTGACCATTCCAAGTTACAATGGCACTAATAATGACTTATGATTGTTTTTCACACTTACAATTGTTGCAACCTCCCATGGTCACCTGATCAAAATTCAGATTCTTGCTAACTGATTCATATTTATGATGGTTGCAGTGTTCTGGAGTCAATGTGATCACCTTTTCCAAACTTCTGACAAGAAAAATCAATGGGGAAGCCAGATTCCTTAACAATCTTGTTAACTTAACAACTACTATGGCAAGAAAGATCGTAAAATGGGAAAAAATTCACATAACAATTATCTTGCTTAGCAACAGAAAGTTTGGGCTCAATTGTGGTTATACATTGAGGATTGCCTGTATAAAATCAAATTCCTCATTATAAAATGAATGTATTTTCATCTGAATTATTCCAACCATTTTCTCACACACAAATCATTATCTCATATATAAAAGCATACTCCATACATAGAATTCCCTTTCCTCTAGGAAAACAAAGAGAAAGAGGCATCTCACTTAATAGGGAAAGAAAAATGGGGGGAACTTGGTGGAGATGAGATAAGGGCAGTAGGTAGTTAAGGAAAGTTTGCTTGTCTTCTGACCACATAGTGTGAATGAAAGGAACTGAGGTTGCAGCTGATTTACTGATCAAGGGAATAGTTGCTAGGAGGCAGTTGCATTCCCTCAAGAAACACCTACAACTTAAGTATCACTCTTAAAAAGAAAGGGAGTTCAGTGCCTGTGAACTAAGAACAAGAGAACAAGAATAAGCAGATTTTGTGACTCAATGGGTCAAGCCCTGACTTTCCACTTTCATCAATTAAGCATCAAATTTAACTGAGGAACCAGGATTCCAGCTCTATAAATACAGTGGTTAAATTTAGATAATTCAAATTTATTAACAGTAACCAATATGAAGATAGAGAGCCAGGGGTGGGAGGAGGATGCTTTTTAGTTTATTGCACAAATTGTGAAATGTACAAATATCTGCTTGTTGAGTATATTTAGTATGTGATTGGAACAATGAGTTCTTGGTTGTCAAGATCCAATTAAGGCAGTTGAGTTGAGCATGTTTAGAGACAGAGAGCATGTAGACAAAATCTTCCAGGATGTGACAGCTTAATCTCCTTTCCGAGAGAATACTTTCTTTGCTCTCAAGGAGATAAGGGGTGACATATTTTCAAGGATGAAGGAGATGTTCCTGTAAATGGACCAAATCCTTGAGTAGATGATCTATGTGTCCTTATACAGAAAATATTCCTCAAAACGGGGCAGGGGGACAATTCAGTCATTATAAACATAGAAGACTAATAGAAATGCTCAACGTGAGATATTACTATATGGAATACCAGTCATTTAACAAGTTGAAAACTAAACCCTTCACCCCAGGCATGCACTTATACTTGTCCAAGTCCACTTTACTGCATTATATGGTGAGAAAGAGAAATAAAATTAGGGAAATATATGAATTACTATCCATACACTGTTCCACATTAAAGGTCGTAGTCCTCTATTTACAATCAGTTGCTTACAACTGACACACACCCCTCCCCCCAAAAAAGCTACTTATGACTCAGTTTCAAAGTTACAGGTGCTGCTGCACCTCGCAGTCCCTTGCCGAAAATTTGAGAAGATTTGCCTTTACAGGCTCCGCTGCATTGTAACAGAGCTATCTCTACATTACATCTAGCAACTGGAGAAGATTAGAGCCAAGGCACTGAGGCAATGCAAATTAAGTCAGCACACATTTTTGCTGACAAAAGTCTAAAAGAATGCACAACTAGAAGGAAGATCCTTTTGTCCTGAAGAATCAATGGGGGCTCTGGATTAATGGCAACGAGCCTCCAAATACCATTTATACTGCTAAGTCTCCATCTCCTGCTTTGTAATATTTCAGAAGTATATTACTATACTTACTATAAATGTGAGATGTGAAGTAAAAATAATTTGATCTAGCCTAATAGAGCTATTCTAATGTCCAAAAAAGAGAGAGAAGCTTCTTATAAGCATTACAAAAGGATTACATTCATCAGGCAAGCAGCCCCTCCCAAGCAGCAGTACTGTCTGCTGCTATTTGCACCTCCACCCATTTCCTTGTTTTCGACAATATTTTCTATTCTTCTCAGTAAATGTATTTAAATAATGTACTAACCAAGCCAACCAAAATTTATTGTTGATCAGTTAAGACTAGGTACTGCAATCTAGTTGGGCAATTTTTTCATATTATTGGAGAGGATGCCCTGTTTTAGGGAAGTGGATCATTTTACGTTTTGTTAAGGATTCAACAGAAAATGATCTGATCTTTGATTCATCAGGGAAGGCAACATGAGGATTATATTAATACTTCGAATCATGCCATTTCCACTAACTTAAGGGGTTGAG